ACCTAAAATAGGATTTGTAACTTGTGTAAATATGATTGAGTAGATGAATGAAATTATTCAGAAATTTCTCGATTATAAGGGGTAGAAAAGGCACATCCGTTTACTCCTATACTAATAATCCATAATTAACATTTCTTAAAACAGAAAGTTATTGAGACATTCAAACTATTGAAGAGTGAATTTATGACCTCTTACTGTGACTCTTGTTCTTGCTGCCAAATAGCATCAACAAAATGGTTGACTTCATGTAGATATGTTGTTTCTAGAAAAACAACGGAAATATTACAGAAGTAGGAAAATAATTTGAAGTAATGGAATTTTTGTAGGCATATAGTTGAAGGATATTAAAATTCTCGAGTTCTTGACTATTGGGATGGAGAAACTTACACGGTAAAACAGTGCATGCGTTGGACACCAGAACTTCATGAAGCCTTTGTCCTAGCAATCAACAAACTTGGTGGGAGTGAAAGTAAATTCCCTCCTTTCCTTCAGTATCAAATTAATCAAGCTAATTTTTGTAACAATTTGACTTGGTTTTGAAGTTTGAAACTTTTAAAAAGCCATAAATTTTTCTGTCTACTTAGTTCTTCATTTTTGCCAATTTATTCTCTGTAACTGCAGCAACTGCCTTCCATTTAGTTCTGGTTGTTTTTGTTTTTTTTATGTCGTCAAGTCAGCATATCATAATTCAAATTGTATTTATTTTTTCATGTCCAGGTAATGAAATGGCAAAGAGAATGGCCTATTTTGGGCTCTCTGTCAACATGGTAGCATTCATGTTCTATGTTATGCATCGACCTTTCATTTTGGCCTATTTTGCTGGTATATCGATTGCCTATAACTAACATATCTTATATGGGACTTTTGAACCGGTAGATGCTTGGACAAAGCTGCTCTGCAACTGAACGAAGATAGTGCAAATCCAAGTCCTTAGAGACTTTGCACAATGACACAAGTTGAAGAAGTCAAAATTCTTCTATAATATACTGGATGGAAAAGTGAGGACGGAATAATGGAAAGTAGTAGGAGAACTAGAAGCATACATTTAGAGGGTAGTTAGGGTGGTTCATATTTTAGGTAGTTTGCTTCCTATCCAATGCAAGAATTCTCAAAGCACTTATTTTCATAACTTAATTAGCGTTTCCTGTTGTCAACTTAGGTGTTCCTTTTTGAAGTTAAATGGTGGTAAAGCATATGTGCAATATTCATATATCTCATATCACTTAGTTTAGGTTTACTTATTGCAGTTACACAAAACATTTTATTGTATTTTGATTGTTTTCTATATGTTACAGGATTCGATAGGTTGTACTACCAGTACATTCCAGAAGGGAAGGAGTATCCTATTTTATGTAGGAAATTATATACTGGGTTTTATAATTAAGAAACAAGAGAAGGTAGAAAGTTTGGTTATCATGTGTGAATGATGGATTCTTAAGATTCTAATTCACAAGATTAAATTTATACTACTTAAGAGATTAGGTTCTTAACAATTTTTAAATAGCACCTCTCAATTATAGATAGAAGGCAGTGACACCCACTAACCAAGATTAGGTGTAATATTGGTCTCAATCTAGTACTCTGGTTTTGTTTGTCTTGGGTGTGGTGTAATATTACTTTCAAATTATATTGATGTGTTCTTTCCGGTACTCATTTTTTCTGATTTATTTGTTGGTCAGATTGTAGCATCATGAAGTCAGATTTTTTCTGATTTATTTTCTAGTTTGAAGACGCCATTTCGAGATGGACTGCTGAAGCATGTTGCACAAGAAGTTGTAAAGTTGGCTAAGGTGACGTTAATGCCATCTTTGTAGTAGTCTTGTATAAGTTAAAACAGTTACTCTTTTTTATTCCTAATTACTGACTCTTGTATCCATCTCTCTTTCACAGGATGGTTTGGAGAGGAGAGGCTAGGGAAGTTAAAGCAATTGTGGACGATGATAAAGCAGCTTAAGTGGGAAGAAGAAAATTGAAGAATTTAGGTTACGTCGATGGTGATTTGGGTGGAGAAATCTCTCAGCGGAAATTGGAGATGATGTGGACCTTAAATTGGTCTATATCGAAATGTACATCTATTATCTTGTCTCTCTTGACATTTAATTAATTTTGTGTGTATGTAAACTTTAATTTATTAACTTCCCTTGAAAAGAATAATAATAATATATATTATATTTTTTAAAAAAAATTCATTCAAATTAGCGACGGAAATAAGAGACGGAATTCTGTTGCTAATCATCGACGCAAATAATTTGTAGGTGATTTGCGACGACAAATTCCGTCGGTGATTTGCGACGGAATATTCCGTCGGTAATTTGTGACGGTTATTTCCGTCGCTATTTACCGACGGATAATATAATCCGTCGCTAATTTTACCGGCGGAGTGTTTACCGACGGATTTACCTACGGACGAAATCCATCTCTGAAGCTCATTTCCAACGGATTTCGGGGCTTCAGCGACGGATAATTCCGTCTCTGAAGCCGCTGTTTTTTGTAGTGTAACCTCATTAAACGACTTAGCAACATGTCACAAAGCTCCACCTAGTAATCATAAAATAAAGAATGAAAAGAAACTTGTAATGAAGATGTTGACAATTATGTAAATAATTCCCTTAAAGAACATATTAATATGGTGATGATATATGAAATTTTTTAGTTGTCTCCACTTCTAGTAATAGACTATAATTTTGTTGATGATTACTAATTTGAAAACTTCTAATTTTTTACTTTCTTGACATTTTTATGTTTGTTTACAAGTTAAATTTTAAATTTTGTTAGTTATTTTTATTATGAATATAAAAAGGATTTATGGTATACTAAGGGCATTGATGGGATATTAGTATAGATATTATTTAATACGGTTTTCAATTTAGTACTTATTTTAGGAAACTTAAGTAAGTTAAAATAGGATTTTTGAAAATCTATATAAAGGGGTTTTAGCACTGTAATAAAAACAACTTTGATATGAATAAAAATTAATATTCTCCCCTACATTCTCTCTTCTTCGCTCCCGTCCGTCTAATTCTCCTGCCCTTTCTACCTCCCTCCTTTTACCTCCCTCCTTTCTCTTCTTCTATCTCATTTCCCCTTCTCCTCCAATTGTTCCATAGCGTCCTACGTCAGGCATATTTTTTCATGTTCATATTCTTATAAATTCTTTAGTTGCTCTACAATGAGGTGTGTAAGCTTGCTTACATCTCAAAGCACCTCGACGTGTCATGGCGACAAAATGCCTTAGTACCCAATTAACCTTTTTAAACATTGCTTATACTGTAGATATAAACATAATGTTTGTCACAGTGCAGAGATGGCAGGAAAAACAATAACTGCAGTATCAGTCACTAGCTGCTGGCATGGCAGATTTGACTGACCCTGGAGATAAGATGGCGTGAATTTTCACATAAATGATCAGAAAATGGTCCCAAGAATCTTTCTTCAAGAAAACAATGGACCCATTTAAGGAGAACTTAGGGGCAAAACTCGCCAAGGACGAGTAGCATTAAAAGCAGGTAACCAGTCTCGAAATATATCATAGAAGTTCTATGCTAGACTACTAAACATGAGGTACAAACTGAATAGTCCTTGAAATTTTTACCACCTTTATTTGTATAAACAAAAATCCCACGCAATGTATATGAATTTTCTTGAGAAGTAAATATGAGAAAATAAATGGTAGATATCGATGTAGGATTCATCTTCAATCCCTTTCACCATATGTGGCTTAACAAAATGTTGAAAATAGATATCATGCAGCCATGAATTCTTTTTAAGTTTTATATCAGAACCAATTAATGAGAAACAAACAAAATAGTAAAGGGTGCATTCCAGAGAGATGGCAAGGAACATTTTTGGAGCTTTCTTTTATCTACAGAATTGATTTGCGTGTCCTAAGAGATAATTATTGTTTGTCACACGAGATTCGCAAGGTATTGTGAATATGGCATAAATGAGGTTTAGGAGTGGCGCCAATATGTACCTTTTAGAACTCTTCATCCAGGCTGAATGTGCTACTAGCTGCAAGTTGAGATATCCATCTTCCTAAAGCTAAATTATAATATAAAGGTGATCAAAACCTCCCATGTTGAATGGAAAGTAAGATACTTTTGGCGATCTATTTTTGGGTTCATGCATATTTATAAGTAATGATTTGTATAATATTTTTTATCATCAGATTGGGCACCAGAAAATCAAGAGTGATGAAATGATAAAAAAGTTGCATTTCATACATATACAAAATTATGCATGTACTCACATTATATTTGTAGTATAATGTTTTTTTCTATCAAAAACATTATACCACAAAAACATGTTTTCAACTGTATTACGCTGTACGCATGCTCATTGTGAAAGCTAATCCTAACACCTTACTACCTATTGATGCCCCATAAGACAGCTGGACCACCTTACCCTCCAACTTGGTTCCTTATAGTCAAATTATATTTCTTATACCATGTATAGTTGGTCTTCTATTCAAGATATGGCAAATGACTCTGAATAACCACCTCCTTTCTCATCCTAGACTAAAGAACTAAGTTACGCCAGTTTAACATAGAATACTATTCATCTTTTATTTTCCCATGACAAATAATAATGCATCTGTGCAAGGTGGATAACACCCACATAAAATGCACGATGCATAGCCTATGAATAATTGAGCTAATCAGAAGAAGATGAAAAAAAATAATCACTCGATCATTTATACAAATGATGGATGGAGTACACCGCTAAGCCTATAAGATAATGTAGTACAAGTAACACGTTTTTGGGTCATTACAGGTGGGGTACCATGAAGCATCACATATAAAGGACTTTTACTCCATAAATGACTAAATTGTCTTAGCTAGTTATATGAAATATGATATACATATTCTAAAAAGAAATGTCAGCTCGCGTTCAAATGTCACAAAACTAATCAAGAAGACAGCCATAGTCATAACTGAACTAGCAAAAAATACTCAAAATCCAGAGAAGTTTACGAGTTCATGATACAGATATGTACCTCTTCACTCTCTCCGAAGCATCTTGCACACCACTCCATCGCTGAGAAGTTGACTAACTGCATCTTTTAGCCTGACATAATCATCAAGTGTATTGTACACTTGATGAGAAATCCGAGCATACCCTGTTATACAACCATCCCCATCAGCAGCTCTGATCTCCCCATCTCTTGGCATCTGGAAATGTATGGGCACTTCCAACCCGAAATGATCTCGCAAATGTGTTCTCAACTTCAATGCATCATCGTCACTCAAGACTCCCAATCTCGAAGGCAAACCAATCATCACCATGCTCGGACACATCTCTGGAGGGGAACCAAGATTCGTTCCCCAAGCCTTGGCCAACATTTCTCCCATTTCAACAACTGCATCGTGGTTCCTATTCTGAATTCCCTCAAGACCCCCTTCAAACCTATTAATGAATTCTAAAACATCAGGAACAACCAGCTGAGAGCTATAGTCACGAGTTCCAATCCATGCACTCTCTATCGCCAGTCCATTCCCATATTCATGTGAAACCACGGGATGGTGCAAGTCAGGCGATAAGGGTGATTTACGACAGTACAAAAAGGCTACAGAAGGTGGACAAAAAAACCATTTATGCAAATTACTCACATAAAAATCAGCCCCAATTTCCTTAACGTCCACATGAATACTACCAATAGCATGAGCGGCATCTACAAATACACGCTCCACACCTTCTTCTCTACAAATCTTAACCAACTCACGTGCAGGAATCACAACACAGGGCATGGATGTTATATGATCAATTATGGCTAGCCTAACTTTCTTACCATTGGCCTTACCTCTGGCCAACCCTTTCCGAAACTCAGCGATGATTTCTTCATTCGACTTCACAGGAAACGGCAAGTGAACCACGATGACAGACCCCCCTGCCCGAGTAACATAAGCCTCAATGGACTTCTTGACGGCCTGGAAGGCGCAGTGGAGCATGACAACAGCATCGCCCTTCTGGAAGCGACCGTCAGCAAAGGCCCAGCCAACGTGCTGAAGAACAATGGCTGCGGCAGTTGTGGCATTGTCGACAATAGACACCTCGTCCACATGGTCGGCATTGATGAGGTCCTTGACTATGGTGCGGGAATGGAGGATTTGCCGCTGCAGATGATTGAAGAAGAAGTCGTCAGGCTGCTGGAGAAAGCGCAGCTGCCATCGTTTCTGGGCAGCGATGATGGAGGCTGGGCAGCTTCCAAAGCTGCCGTTGTTAATACGGGCGATGCCAAGCTTGTGATGGGCAAACTCTTGCCGAATTTCGGGTTCAGTTATGAAGGAAAGCTTCAGCTTCTTGGAAACGTGGTTGTTGTCGCCATTGGCAGCAGCTCGAGGGTCTTCGATTTCGGTCGGAGGATCCATTTTAGGAGGGTAAGATTAGGGTTAGGGTTTGAATCGGGGAAGTTACAATTCAGGAGGAGCCTGTGATACTATCGCGGTTCATATTCATTGGCAAGAGCTCATAATTGATTGTCCCATTTTGTTTTCAATCATGTTACATGTTGTTTATATCATTTTTTAGTTTGTGACACAATATATGATTGGATAATTTTTTTAAAAAAACACATTTTTCTCGCCCAACATTTTTGATATACAATGGAATGTTTGTATAATTCTATTGTTTTATGCTTGTGCGGGAGTGAGCCAATTTTTTTATAATAAATTTTGTAAAATTAATTTATTTTTTTTAAAAAACATATTGATTGTGTTTAAATCTAATTTTGAGGAGAATAGAAATTTTGGATTGGTGATTGATGTGAGAATGTGTGGTGGAAAAGTGATCAAAAGTTTTTTATTTGTGTTTGATATCATTTTATTTGAAAAATGTATGGTTGAAATGTAGAATGAGAATGAGAAATTAACGGGTGTCAAATAGAGACATTGTTAAGCCCTTGTTTGCCCCCCATTATATCACATTCCATTACATTAATTTTTTCTCTCTCTTCATCTCAACCATCCATTCATCAAATAAAATAATAATACACACAAATTAAAAACTTTTCAACCACACATCTCTCATCAATCACTATTCTAAAAATTATCTACCCCCCAAAAATTTAAATTAATGGGGGGCAAACAGGGGCTAAAAAAGAAGTATCGACTTAAAGTCTCAAATTATTTAATGGGAAAATTGTCGCAGCGGTCCTTAACCTTTAATTTTTTTTTTGCTGATTTTACACTAACATTTAGTTTGTGTCAATGGAATTCCCAAACTTCTGATAAATGAGCAGTTGGAGTCCAAATGGATAGACCGTTACTTGATCAAGAAAAATAAATTTTAGCCAATTTTGATCAAAATACGTAAAATGGTAACTTTTGAATTATCACGTTAAATGAATAAAACTAAACTAAAAATATAATAAATCTGAACAACCATCTTCTTCTTGACTACCCCCAACAATTCCACTCTCCCACCTCATCCACACCCCCACTCCAAATTAAATCAAAACTTAAAATCCTTCTCCGACCACTGCCATCTTCTCATCCTATACATACATAAGCACTAATGAGATATCCTACTCCACTCCAGCCCAACCCCACAACCCAAAACCAAAAAATAGTAAAACAACAACTATTGAAGTATAACAAAAATTTATAAAGAAAGAGAGCCGAATTTGAGGGTTTTTTTTGTTTTAGAACTAAGGGAAGTAACTATAAATTTCAATTGGATACTAAAGATTAGGGAAGGTGGTTTTGGTAGTGTTTATAAGGTTACAGTTATGCCTCCTAATGGGCTGGGAGATTCCATAGTGGTTGCTATTAAAAAACTCAATACACGAGGATTACATATATTTGTTTTGTCTTTGAGAATTCAAGGCTGAGAAATGCATACTATACAGGAGTTGTTGCAGATCTATAGTTAAGAACATGTACTCAATTGATTATGTTTGAGGTTGTGATTTTTAAACTGGATGATAATATTTGTGTTGTTGATTCAGTGGCTACATTGCAATGGTTTGAAGTTTTTTCAGGTTGATTTAGGGCTGCAGCTGCAATGATTCCGACGATTGTGGCAATTTTTGGCGGGCGGGTAGTGCGGCAGCTTATTGGTGGATGGCGATGATCGGCAACGACGGATTTTTTGGGTGGGTGATGGGCGAGGAACTAAGGAAGGGAGAAGAATAGTAGTCTTTTATTTATTTTTTATTTTGTTTGATTTTTTATTTTGTTTATTTATTTAATGTGGTAATTCTAAAGTTACAATTTTACCATTTTTTTAATTTGGTCAAAGTCCACTTTTTTCGTCCATTTGGACCCAGGTAACCTTCGTTGGCACAACTGAAGGTTAGAGTAAAGTTTACGAAAAATCAAAGGTTAGAAACTACTGCTACAATTTTCTCTTATTTTATTGAAAGATTATGTGATTAAAAATAAATTTCAAAGAATAGAGCTCAAAGAGAGATAAAATGATTCTCATTTCAAAGTATGAATTGTAAAACTGGTCACATAACAATGTCCTTTCTTATTATCATTGCGTGCAATGCAACAAAATGCATATGTCATTTCTTTAAACAGTTATCAAAATACATTGTTTTGTTCCTTTTTAGATAAATTATTTGACGATAAATATATACAACATTTTTTTTAAAAAAATGCTAATCCCCTGTTTGGTAAGGATTAAAATCGAATTTTTAGTAATTTTGATAAAAGTTGATGAAATGTGTGATTACACCTGGAGATGGCAATGGGTAGGATGGGTAGCTCTCTTCATTCCCATCCTGTAAAATTTTTTTGAGAGTCGAGTTGAAAATTAATTTTTTTTTTAGTACCACTCAATTTACTTATATTTATTTTTTCATTTTTAAATACAATTTAAATTTAGACAAAATAAAAAACTAGAATTGAGGTAGGTTTGGGGAATAGACATTTTGTTATTCTATTGGCATCACAACATTGTGATGTTAAGCTCCCTGTTTAATCATTATTATTTAAAAATTATTTAATTTTCATAATCATTTTCAACCATCATATTTACATAATAAAATATTTTATACGTAAATTTAAATTTTCTCTACTTTTTAATCATACATTTTCCAAAAAATCACTATTCAAAACTCTATTGTGTTAAGATAATGGCCATCAAATTGGGGCTAAATGCTATATCTAATAAAATAAGTCTTATATTCTCACATTTCATTGGACCTAATATTACGAATACTTTTATGTAGCACCACTATATATAGTCTACCCGTCTTTAGTAATGTGTCATTTTAAATAGGACTCATACCCCTACTTTTAAGATGATCTTCATTTAACGATATTTCAATGTCATTTAAAATGGTGTTTAGCACTATCGATATCAAATAGCATTGCTCAGCATTTAATGCTACTATATTACAAATCAATCATCAATTGTGCTACATAGCATTTTTATGTTAGGATTTTAACTTTGCCAGTATATATGCACAAGTTCTCAAATAGCGCAACTATACATTTACAAAAACTTCGTGTGTCAAGTATATAACATGTACATGAGTGAGTATTTAGAAACATGTACAATGAATCTCATGCTTTATTAGTTTAAACTCGGATAATTTCTGAGTAAGTCGACTACTTTTAAACAAGGATACACTACATTTTTATATGACCTAAAATAAATAAAAGTGCATTAAAAGCTAGGAAATCTATGCACGATCACACAAAAACATAGAAAAATATTTATATCTCATATCTAAATTTATGGTCTTCTACATGTATAGGCGGAACGAGAATTAAAATATCACATTTACAATTTCCATCTAATTTACTATTTATACATTTAATGTTATTTTTTATGGGGAATTAGTTGTCTTGGCCAACCATCAATATCTTTTTGTCCAAAAGGCCTTTGACCAAATTCTTAAAAAGAAAAGGAAATCTAATTATTTAAAAGTGTTAAAATACAATTTTACCCTTCTTGGAAATTTTAAAGAAATTTTTTAAAGTTCAAGGTTTTGAACCTTCAACTCCTATGGAAAAAAATGCTCCCCACACCATTAGAATATTGAACAATATCATTTATTTATTGCAATAACCTATATATAAATCTTGACAAATTATATTCTAATTTACAAGGTTCAAGGATTTGAACCTTCAACTTTTATAAAAAAGTTAATTAAAATGTTTTCCTCATCACTAGGACATTGAACAATATTGTTTATTTTATTGCAATAACCTATATATATCTTCAAAAATTATAATCAAATTTTCAATGTTCAGCTATTTGAACCTTCAACCTCTAAGAAAAATTATACTTCCCTCACCACTAAAACATTGAACAATATTGTTTATTTAATGCAATAACATATATATAACTTTATAGTTTTGAATATCTTGAAAAATTAAAATTAAATATTTCACTTTATTTTATATACGTATTATGTATTGAAAGATTAATTTTAATAAAGATGAATTGAATGTCTACAAAATTTATGATTTCGAAATATATAAATAATTAATGACTATTAACTTAAAATCATTACTTTTATTTCAAATAATTGTTTTTATATTTTTAAGTAATCATCCACCTGTCCAACCATTAAATTTTTAATTTTTTTTCCCTTCATCCCCACGTAAACTTTTTACGGCGTGTAAGATATATTTTTTATATACCTTAAAAAATATAATTATCGTTTTATATACGCTAAAACGATATATATGTCATTTTAATTAATATTAAAATTGAAATGATATCAATGTCGCCAAAATTGTACAGAAACGATAATGACATCGTTATGTGTCAAATTCACGAAATAACATAACAACTTTTATATCATTTTAGTATAAATTTGACGAATTCGAAATTGTTCCAATTCAAATCATAACTACAACGACATAGATATTGTTTCTTTTAATAGAAAACGATAATTATATCGTACTGGCTAAAACAACGATTCGACAGTCGATTTTACACATAACGACATTTATGTCGTTCTCTGTGAACTGAAACGACATAGATGTCGTTTTAGCGCAGGTTTCAATCGAAACGAGTTCGACATCGCTAAATTTGTATTGAAACGACATGTGTGTCGTTATGTTATTTAGTGGGTTTGGTACATAACAATATCATTATCGTTTTATTACAAATTCGACGATATTGATATTGTTTCAGGACAAATTATAACTAAAATGATATATATCTCGTTTCAGTTTGTATATAACGATATTTATATCGTTTCTACCAAAAATAACGATTCGGCCAGCCACGACCCCCGACATGCATCCGACATATATAGGACGATCGAAATAGTTCATCAAGTGAGTTCGATCTTACTCCAAAGAAAATATAAGAATATTTATGTTGCCATAATTATATCAAACCTTCTAACTATTCCCACCTAAAGAAAGTATATTCGTTTGCTTTTTCTAAGCCATTCGAGTGG